TCTATGTCATCACTCTACACCCCAGATTGGAATTAAATCTCCCCATTTACACAAGTCCCTATGCATACATCTCATTATTTTTTCTTCCTGGAAGAAGGTAAACCTTTTGATTGGTATCTAGGCAACCAATAACATAGGACATAATTATATTTTCTCCATTCCTTTACCAATTGAGGGCCAATTTACTTGTTAGATCCCCCGCCCAAACGAGTGAGAAAAAGAATTTTCATCTTGCATCGTATCAGTTTCGTTCCACCCCAAACACCATACTTTTCAGTGAATCCATTCCTATATTCAGCCAAAAGGCGTCATGTGTCAGATAAGGAAGGGCTAAGCTAGAATAATATAGGGAAGAGGACCACGGGACTGCAGATATGCATTGCCTTCCAGTTTGTGTGAATTGGTGGGCAGAATACCGTTGTGCTAATGTCCAGCTTGCAGGCTTCCTACAGGCATCTGGTTGACTACTGTGAGAACAGGATGCTGTACTAAATGGGCCATTGGCCTGATCCAGCAGGCTCATATTACGTTCTTACCTTTGCATTCCCTATTAATGTACACGTCTCTGTAATTTAGCAGCAATAACTCTGGGTATATACTACAGCCATTGGCAGACTGTTCCATCATGCCCTATCGTGCTGCTGTTCTGGAGCAGCTTTCTCAGCAAGTCAAAGTCCCACAAGATCTTTGTTTGTTTGTTTGTTTTCTTTTTAGTCTTGTCTAGCAAATAAACCCTGTTAAAATGCAAATTAGCATAGCTGTCAACGTTTCCCTTTTTTTAAAGGGAAATTCCCTTATTCCGAATAGGATTTCCCTTAAAAAAAAGGGAAAAGTTGACAGCTATGAATTAGTGTTTCCTTTATTGCCTAACTGAATCCAAAAAAGAACCCCTTGACTATTGTCAGGAACCTTGTGTCATCTATGCGATACTGGATTTGTATGACTGAGTTGTTTACCAATACAAGCTGCTGCCTCCTGCTGCTGAACAAAGCATGTGTCACTTCCAGATTCTCAGCACAAAACCCCAGTGCCCAGGCTCCCTGGACTTACCTTCCACCATGGCAAACTGTGACCTTGGAAGTCAAATTTTAATGCCAGAACTAGAGGCTGAATCACTCAATATATCTCTAAAATTAACTCATTATTGTAACACTGGAAAATAGAACATTGATCCGCCACATATGGTTCGCTTTTATGGTATTTTCGGATAATTTGCTGTAAGTTTTTTTTCTTTTAATCTACAAAATAAAGAGTTTCATACTGCTTACACAGTCATAATAAGGACTTTTTTTTTTAAAGAATAGAATGCAAATTGAGACCAGTAAAAAACTCAGTAAAAGTAACACTTGCTCAAATTATTTACTCATCAACATAATATATTGTCATATCTGGATTTTAAACGTGGTCACGGATAATTAACAGATAAAAATCTAAACAAATACAATCGTACCTTGGCTCCCAAACGCTGCAAACCCAGAAGTGAGTGTTTGGGTTTGCGAATGTTCTTTGGAACCCGAACATCCGACGGGGTTTCCATGGCTTCCATTTGGCTGCAGGAGCTTCCTGTAGCCAATCAGAAGCTGCGCTTTGGTTTCCGAACATTTTGGAAATTGAACGGACTTCCGGAACGGATTCCGTTTGACTTCCAAGGTACGACTGTACACCAAAACTTCCCACATCCATGTATCTTCATATATCATAACAACACACTGATCATAATTAAAGATTGGTGGATTTGCTGGTTTTGGTAGAGAGCAGAATGGTGTGATTGCATTACTCCAAAACGCCAGAGCAGATAGTGGAAGCCAGAATTGCTCCTGCAGTTTATTCTGGTACAGAAATGGAGAGAAGTGTAAATAGGAAGAGGTTGCACAACTTTCTACCATGGCTTCTTTAAGAATCAGTGGTGAGACAGACAGGCTATCCATCGTTTTATGTCATTTGGAGTGCTGACTTCAACTGTGCCCTTAATATACCTTCAAAATCATTTTGATTGGTTGTTGGTCTATTTAGTTTCAGTGTTGATTTTCTCCCCATGATTTGCATTTCTGCAAACATAAGGGCTCTTTCCATCTGCCACCTTCCATGCTGCTCTAGGGGGACCCCCAGCCATCTGGATCATCTTGCTGGTGTGGGAGTAGCATTCTGGGGATTGCAGAGGAAAGGGAGAATTAGAAAAATCACCTGCCTGGTTCCACCAATGCATGGGTAGGCAAACTAAGGGCCGCGGGCCAGATCAGGCCCAATTGCCTTCTGGATCCGGCCCGCAGGCGGTCTGGGAATTGCCGTGTGGATTGCCAGCACGCGTGTTCTTTCCCTCTCCCTCACACGGTGGCAGCACCTCCCTCCTTCCTCCTGGTTTCTCCCCACCTTGCCTAGAGGCGGAAGGGGGCTGGGCTTTGTTGGTGCCAGCAGCAGCAGTGCTCAAGCGTTCACCCCCCCCCAAAAAGATAGTCCAGCCCCCCACTAGGTCTGAGGAACAGTGAACCGGCCCCCTGCTGCAAAGTTTGCTGACTCCTGCACCAATGGAAGAGTCCTGTAAACAATTCATTGGCCAGAGAATGATATTCAATGAAGCTAGTGATAACAGAACTCTGACAAAATATTTGATTTTGGATAAATACTCAGCAGATTGAAGGCCCTGCTTCCAGATACATGCAAATGAATGTGACTGGGTTGTTCTTTGGAATGTTGGCATGGATCCCCCCCTGTGAATTCTGAAAATGCCGTGTGATCTTCAAGGTCACAACATCCAGGCTGAAACTGTCAAAACTTCCCCAGATTCTTACTGGTATGCTTCTAGCATTTTACAGTTTATGACTTTTACCGCTAGGAGTATATAATGCATAGAGGAAGACTTTTTAAAGTTTCAGAATATTATGTCACATAAATACAACCATAAATCAGAGCCCTCTGATCTGGAAAATGCCCCCATCTCCACCCACTGTTACCAATGATGATAGGGAGCTAAAAACTTCAAAAACAAGAACAACCTTGCAGCAGACTTTCAACTTGTCAGGTGGAAGGTTTTATTTTATGTTGCTCCATCTGCTTTATCTGCATCTCATGTGTGTGTGTGTGTGTGTGCTATTGTTGTATTTAATAGTACAGTATACAGTATATGTGTGTGTACCCACATATAGATTTGCACACAGAAAGATAGAAATCATTACACTGGGTAATTTTTAAATTTAGTATAAATTATTATTAGTTTAAACACCAGTTTTTAAAAAATTAATGCCTCCAATTCTATTAAAAAAAATTTAAACAAAAGAAACCACTACAAATTTCTACTTCCTGAAATTAATCTCTGTTTTTCTGGGCCTGCTCTGGGAAATCATGACTATTATCTGGTATGTTGAGTCATGTTATCAAATCAGATGTCTGTGATGAATATCTGGCATTAGGTTACATTCATTAAAATCATCCTAGTTTCCTTCATTGCTTTCAGCAGGCCATCATATATTGCTATGGGTTTGGAGTTATTCTCAGTTTACCACCCCTCATTTTATGGACTACTGTATTGTTTTTCACTTTAGAGTCCAGCTGGAGGTGATATCTATATGCTGGGAGTTATATGTGCATTTAATTCAAAAGTAATGACAGTTTTCTTTCACGGTGCATTTATTAAAGCTCAACCCACTTTAACTCGTACACTACAATGGCACGTAGGCAATGTGGCAGCAATACATATGTAGTAACTCTGTTTCCACTAGCACAGTAGGAGCATCTGTGAATGCAGTTTCAATGTTCTGGCCAAGCATAAAATGTGAATCTGTGAAACATTTAAAAGGGAAGACCTAGAGAGTTTCATTAAGAATCCATTGCAAACTCCAAGTGACACCTCATGTATTTGAACGTGATTTGTGAGCTGGGTGTTAGAGAAGTGTAAAATTATTCCATAAATTATCTATGAAAGTGGTAAAATGTATGACTCCTCTGCTCTCACTTATTTTTAGATCCTCAAATGCACAACAGAGAAACGGTTCTTGAGCATCAGAATGCTGGCAATAATGCAAAATAAAACAACAAATTAAAGCTAGCTTAAATCTTGCTGGAAACTGGCATCCCCAGGGGTGGGGAAAGAAGGTATAAGCAGGGCTAGATTAATGATTATGCTAAGCATGCTACAATATAGGACCCGAGTTTAATTGGGACTGTAGCTATGGTCTTATTAGATGGGAGGTCTCAAAAGAGGAATATTACTACCTTAGCTTGGCAGTGCTTGGATTTCTCTGCATGTCATAATGTGGTGGCATCCTCCCAAGGAAGATGAAAACAGAATTATACCAGTGCTTAAAGGTAAAGGTAAAAGGGACCCCTGACCATTAGGTCTAGTCGTGACCAACTCTGGGGTTGCGGCGCTCATCTTGCTTTATTGGCTGAGGGAGCTGGCGTACAGCTTCCGGGTCATGTGGCCAGCATGACTAAGCCGCTTCTGGAAAGTGAATTTTAAGGGACTGGGGGTTGGTATGGATAGCTTTGGGGGGAAGAGGGAGGGTGGCATTGATCGGTGGAGTAAGGCTGAGGATGGTTCTGCTGCTCAGATTTTAATCCATACTAGAAGAGAATTGGAGTTTTTAAAAGGATCGCCTCTTCATCTGAAGTGGACTTTTACAAGCCCCTACTTTTCTTTTCTAAGCTCATGCTTGCAGATTTGGCCTGAATACCTAGCTTTGAGATCAGGCCTTCCTCATTCAAGCCCAACACTCTTTATAATATATTATGGCTGGAACCATAGAGCAAAGCATGTGTGCATGTGTGTAAGTGCATGTGTAGTATATGGGAGCACTAGTCCCATAAAGTGACACACAATATAGAAATAAGATATGGTTTGTATTTCTTCTTCCATTTTATAGTCTATTTTTGCTTTCATTGAAAGATTACATTTTTAAATCTTTACCTTTGAAAAAACAGCAACACTTGAATTAAACAATTAACCAAACCAAACAATTAACCAAACAATTAACCAAACTTTTTGTTGTTTAAAACATGCAGTTCCCACTTATTGACATTTTTTATCTACAGTTGAATTTTAATAAAGCATATAATTGTCTGGAAGCGAATAGATTTGGGCTGATCTTGTCACATAGATTACACCTGCTGCCTCCTAGTGCCAATGTCCTCCAGTGCAATACAATTATACTGGCCAGATTGCTATAAAAGCAAAAGAGAAAAAAACAAATAAAAAAAACCAGACAGCATCTTCTCAGATGGCTTGACTTCATTGCCTGTCGAAAGGGACCCAACTTGAATAGCCAGGTTTCCAACTGTGGAACTATTAGTTATTAGTACAACAATACAAAAACCATTATATGTGAGTCCATTATTATTTTCGCTTCCTTCACACTCTTCAACCTTGAATTTCAGACTGAGTCAAAGTCCCAAGCCTCATCCCTCTGTAAAACAGAAACATGTGCAGGGCCGGATTTAGCTCTGAGGAGGCCCTAAGCTACTGAAGGTAATGAGCCCTTTATATATCCAACTGTCCTTTGTCAACAACAAATTGTTGCTGTTTTTTGTGTTGAATATATGCTATATGGTAATTTATAGACCTAATAGGTATCTAAAGCCATTTGCACGTAACAAAATATGTATTTTATCAAAGTAATTGATATAGAAATGAGCAAACCAATGATATTTTAGGGAGCAGGCTAGCAGACGGGGCCCATTACTTACATCATAGGAGCCTACACTACACAAAATACTGCTGCTGTATGTAGGTTTTATTTTATTTGGTTTTTTATCTTATATTTTGGAAATGTACATCCAGGTTGTTTTTTCCTTTACATTTTTTGGGGGGCCCTCAAGAGAGTGGGGCCCTAAGCTATAGCTTGTTTAGCTTATACATAAATCCAGCACTGAACATGTGGATTGTTGTACACATTGCCTGGCTAGATAACTGCAATCCTAAATTCGGAGCAGTGGACATTCTGAAGGATGGCTATTTTTCGGTTCTCATATTGTTTTGGAAAAGGCGAATTAGGTAGGTTCACCTTAAAATGTAAATTGAATCACATGTATGCCCCAACTCTTTATGTAACCTTACTAATTTTTTCTGCAACATCTATCAATGGAATTCTATTTGTCTCTTACTAAGAACTCAAAAAATCTAATTTGCCTCAGTTATGATCAAAGCCGATTCATATGGCCGTCCTTGGCAGAATGATAATGGATTTTTGAAAAATAGCTATCATAGCTCAGTTGTCTTGGACAAAGCGTTCTTAAAATAAAATAAAATAACAGTAACCATCAACTAAGCCAAGTTAGTGGAAGGTGATAATTATGTATTAATTATTTATTTCAGGCACTTAGAAGCAGCCTTCTCTCTCAAATGGCACTTGAAGCTGAGTGCAATTGAAACAACAAATAACACCACAATCCAAGCATTCATAAAACATTAACACCTAAAGGGATTCTAGGAACCATAAAAAAACAGCCAGATTAAAACAGCACCAGGTTATAAATATTCCACAGTACAACCATCAGTTAGTTCCTCAACCCATTCCACTTGATCACTGCCTACTCAAGTGATTTTGTGAGGTATCTGCATATCACATTTTTAAAACCAGATACAGTTTAATGGAAGACAGGACCATGGGACCCTTTATGCCAAATTGGGCTTTCAGGTGGCTCAGAACAGTTGCCAAGGCAGTTCCAACAGCTCACCCAACTACGGTGGGTCCCAGCTACAACAGGAATTACTGTTGTAGAGCTGACTGAAGGACTCTCTAGGCAAATTCTGCTTCAGCAGAAGCAAAGGCATTCATTTCATAATGCCTGGTGAAAGGACACCTGGCATATGCCACACCGCATATTTCTAGCAAAGAGGCATTTGTAGAAAAGGCAGTGGAAGTTGCCACTGACCTCGTAGAGTGAGCGGTCAAGTGTCTGGAAACAGGTAGCTTCTGTGCCTCATAGGCCAGAGAAATACACAGCTGTATCCATCTTGAAAGTGTATTGCCCCAGGGAGGTAGGATGAAAAGAGACAAAGAGAGGTGTAGTTGGTTGTATGCCCTTTGTATATGGACCAGATACACTTTCAGGCCCCTATGAACACTGGGATTTTTAGCTATGGATGGCAGATAATAGTTTGTATAGGAGAGGAAGAAGTACAGCCTTATCTGAGGATGGAATTTTTAAAAAGTATACCCACAATCACCACAGCCTGGTATTTTCCCTCACAAGTAGGCATTTCCACACCAGAAGGCAAGTGTAATACATTATGGCATCCATATGGAACCTGACTCCCAGACATTGCAAATATTTTATCAACGTTGTAAATAACATATAACAAGGGTAGCCAGTATGGTACCCTCCAGATGTTGCTACAACTCCCATCATGCCTGGCCATTGGCCATGCCAGCTGGGGCTGATGGGAGTTGTAGTCCAAAAACAACTAGAGAGCCAGCCTTTAGTTTGTTGTATTGCTTGTCTAGGCACTTGGCCGGAAGCCAAAATCAAATAAGATAATTTTGACTAGCTTTCTGAATCAAACTATGGATCACTGGCAGACTCCTCAATCAATCTCTTTATTACTACAGATGAAAAACAATGTCCAGAAGCATTTGTGAGAACTGACCCTAAACTACTAAAAAAAAATAAGAACAAATCTCTATCCTCAAACAACAGCAACAAAACATATTATCATTTTGAGAGACCTGAGTGACCCTCCATTTTTTGAATTCCTTCTCCTCACAATCATTTCATATATAATGTTAAGGCTAGTTAAAAGTCTGTGTTTAGAGTTATTCATCTACAATCTGTTTTGAACACAGAAAACGAATGGATGGCATTTCTTTCCCATTAAGATAAACAGTGCATTTTCCCTATCACTTCAGGGAATATATTAGTCAAGTGCTACTTTCCCCCCCACAACTCACTCACTGTTTATAACATTAATAGCTGAGCTATAAGAATTTTAGTATTGAACTGTCAGGAATGATTTGTTACCAGATGTTAGCATAATTTGCCAGCTGTCATCTTTTAATCATTTTTATTTGCTTAAAATATGACACTTAACTTTTGTGGTAAATCAAGACATATAGCAGAATTTATTCGATGATACAGCACCTAAGGAGGGAATATAAAACAAGTGAATCTTCGTGATAATCGAAACATTTTGGATAGTCAGGGTTGAGAAGAGCTGATGGAAAAATTGCAGTCAAGAATATTTCTCAGTTAAGGGGGCTATTTGATTTAAAACCATAAGCTTGCATGCCCAATGACTACATTTGGATTCTGCCTTTGATTTCAGCCATAATTTGAATTTATGTCCATACAAAGGCTTTTGTCTTGATAAATGCAATGTAGAATTATACTCAGAGGTCATAGACTACAAATAATAAAAGCTGCACAACAACATAATGGAAGGCCAACCACCCCATCTCATTATCCTTAGTGTAGATGCCAATAAATGGGATTAAGTGTTCCATAATTTAATTGAAGAGAAATGGTATGCAGCTAAGCAAAGTTTGGAGCACTGGTTGTTCTAACACACTACTTTTTGGGATAAAAAACTATATATATTGAGGGGCTGGTACACATATCTTAATAAAAGTGCCATGGTTACCAGTGCAAAATGGCTGCCATGAGCGGCAAAAAAAGAGGCCATGGTACTCCATACCAGTTGTTGTTGTGACGTGGGGTTTGTGATTTCAGCTCTCCTGATATAACATGCTGGAGACAGTTCTCTAGTAACACTTCTTTATTAAAGCAACAAGACTGCAGACTGGGGAGAGGAAAGCTACATTTATAGGGACAGGGAACTAGCAAGAAAGGATACATTTTGGAGGGAACAATATCAGGCAATCACAGTCCTGCCTTTTGGAGGGAACCAATAATACAGAGGATCCAAATACAGCAGCTTAAATGAACCAATAGTAGCTGTACCCTCTGGAACCAAAAGGCAGTTACTTTACCCTAATGCAAATACAGACAATAATACAGATATAAAATCCTTTGACTCAATACACAACACCCCTTCCCCCCTAGTGAGCACAGCAGACGTAATCTCTCAGGTACTGTGGGGCCTACAACTTCTACTTGATCTCCTGACAACAGGTGTTGCAGGTTCTGGATTGGGTGTTACCTGTGGTAGAGGGGCTGCTCTAGGGGTTTCGTCAGGAACAGATGGAGTCCCCGACATCTCAGGGTCCCCTATCTGTACCTCGTCATCGTGAGGACTAGCAGACCCTGGTTCATTTGTTAAAGCCCCTTGTGCTTGCACCTCTGGGCCATTTTCGCTCTGGTCTTGCGGCTCTGTGTCGTTAGCCTGGGATGAATTATCTGGCTCCTCCCTGCTGAGCGCCTGGCGCCTCAGCTGATCTATATGTCTCTTTCACACTTGCCCATTTTCCAAGGTCACATAATAGGACACAGGTCCACTAGCCCGGGTGACCACACCAGCCACCCACCGCGAACCTCGTGAATAGTTCCTCACCCAGACCAGATCTTCAGGGGCGAGATACCTTGTTGTGTCAGTCTCAGCCTGGGGGTTTGCTCTTGAATTATGGTTTGGCATTTTATCCGGGTGGACATAATCCAGCACCGTTACCAGTCTCCTACCCAAGAGCAGCTCAGCTGGCGACTTGCCCGTTGCGGTACACGGCGTCGCATGCTGCAAAAATAACATTCGCGCGATGCGAGCTGACCAGTTACCCTCCATTAAGCGCGCAATGGATTCTTTGGCTGTTCTTACCATGCGCTCAGCCTGCCCATTGGAGGATGGGTGAAAGGGCGCGGATGTGACCCTCTTATGAAGTTATCAGCCAAGAATGCCCTGAATTCTTGGGATACAAAAGCTGCCCCATTATCTGATACAATGGTCTCAGGTAACCCGTGGGTTGCAAACAGCTGCCTCAACACCTTGATGACGGCAGCTGATGCCATGCTAGGGACCATCGCCACTTCTAACCATTTGGAATATGCATCAACGATAACCAAAAAGACCTTTCCTTGGAATGGCCCAGCAAAATCTAAGTGCAGCCGGCTCCAGGGAGATCTGGACTGCTCCCACCAGTGGACTGGTGCTCTGGCCACTTCTGGCCGCACCTCTTGGCATGCCTTGCATGTTCGTACCCATTGTTCTATGTTCTGGTCCATTCCAGGCCACCACACATAACATCGGGCTAGCGACTTCATCCTGACCATTCCCGGGTGTCCCATGTGAAGCGCCTCAAGAACCCTGTTTCTCAGTGGTGCTGGGATGATGACCCTATCTCCCCACAGGAGACAACCCTTATGCATGGACAACTCGTGCTGCCTAGTCGCATAAGGCCTGAATTTGTCTTCATGCGGACCACCTGGCCACCCCCCCCCACCCACGTGAGCACACGGGAGAGAACAGCATCTTTCCTCGTTTCTCAGCTATATCAGTATCCGGTACAGGAGCCCCCCGGAGTGTTTCCCGCCTCCGGGGGTGCTCCGCGGGCGCAGGAGCCTCAGTGCTCCCGCGCGGAAGGGGCACTCGACTCAGCGCAGCCGCGTGGCACAACCGCTTCCCGGCACGTGGGTCAAGGTGTACTGGAACCCGTTCAGGAATATGGACCAACGTAACATTCTGGGGGAGAGAATTTGTGGCGTTTGTTTGTTCGGGTTGAACAACCCTAACAGTGGCTTGTGGTCCGTTTCAATGTAGAAATGGCGACCGTACACATAATCATGGAACTTTTGATTCCTGCCACAATTGCAAGCGCTCTTTGTCAATTTGAGCATAGTTGCGCTCCGTGGGCGCCAACGGACGGGAATAGAAAGAGATGGGCTTTTCCGACCCAGCCGGTTCCCTATGACTTAGCACCGCCCCAGGCCGTATTGAGAGGCATCACATGCCAGGACCAGAGGCTTTGACTCGTCATAATGAGCAAGGACACTCCTGCTACTCAGCATTCCTCGCAAGGAGTCAAAGCCTTCTGCTGCCCCTGCCCCCATCGCCACACAGTCTTTTTCTGCAACAGTCTATGTAATGGTTCAGCTACCGAAGCTTTCTGGGGTAAGAACGAATGATAAAAGTTAATAAGTCCCAGGAATGACTGCAACTCCGTCTTGTTCTGTGGTCGTGGCGCCTCGATGATGGCCTTAATCTTAGCATCTGTGGGGTGGATGCCTGATGCATCAATTTTAAACCCCAAGAAATCCACAGTTGGCACCCCAAAATTGCATTTTTCCTTTTTCAGTTGCAAACCCACCTCCTTGAACTTGAGCAACACTGCACGAACACGCGCAACCAGTTCCTGTGGGTCTTTTCCAGCAATCAAAACGTCATCAAAAAATGGCAAGACCCCGGCAGACCTCTTAACAGGTGTTCCATGAGCCCTTGAAAAATCCCTGGGGCCACACAAACTCCAAATTGTAATCTGTTAACTCTGAACGCCTTTATGTGTGACAATAGTCTGTGCTTCCGCTGATTGTGGGGTTACTGGCAGCTGTTGGTAAGCTTGTGCCAGGTCAATTTTGGCGAACACCTTGCCCCCAGCCAGTTTAGCCAACAGATGTGATACGACTGGAATGGGGTATGAGTTTCCCTGAGTGCCTTATTGATAGTACATTTGTAATCTGCACAGATCCTGACTTCCCATTTGCTTTAAGGGCGTGACGATTGGAGTCTCCCACTTAGCAGAGTCCACGGGTGAGAGAACTCCCTGCTTGACCAATTTATCCAGCTCTGCTTCGATCTTGGGTTGCAGTGCAAATGGCACTCGCCTTGGTTTGAGCCGGATTGGGGCCACCCAGGGTCCAACTCGAAGTCAACTGGGGGCCCTTTATAACAACCCAGTTTTCCATTAAAGAGACCAGCAAATTCTTTGCATAATGCCTCGCTCATCTCAGGGCAGGTTTGGATTGAATTAAGCCCTGATATACTCAGTCCCAGGGCAGGGAACCAGTCAGTGCCCAGGAGACTGGGGCGACTGCCCTTCGCAATCACCAGTTTGAGTACAGCCTGTTTGTCCCGGAACTGTACTCTCACGACACACATTCCCATAACATGGATGCGGCCCGCTGAGTATGACTGCAAGGTTGCCGGGAAGGGTTCCAGAGGGGGCAACTTACCCCTGGGGAAGAATGTCCTCGCGGTCTGGTCCGACACGATAGTGAATCCAGATCCGGAGTCCACCTCCATGTCGCACTGCTGACCCTCAATCTTCACCTTGACGTGTGCCTTCCCTTGTGCTGGGAACTGCACGACCCTCCCGTTGATCTCCGTAACGTAGTGGCAGTCCTTTAGAAAATGGGTTGCTGCGGGCGGTCTGCGATGCTCCGGTCTAGGTGCTCCTGTCGCTCCCAACGCCGCCGATCTACAGACTCTGGCGATGTGACCTGTCTTCCCGCACGTCCGGCACATAGCATCCCGGAAACGACAACTCTTCCGCTCATGGTTTCCGCCACAACCTGGGCACCTGCCTCGGTGATCTTTGTGCACTGTGCAGGCCTGACTCACTGACTCGACCCCACGGACTGGGCTCTGGCTCGGAGTAGCCTCTAGCTCGTCCATGGCATGCGCAACTTCTATCTGTGGCTTAGGGGCCTTGCGACTGGCATCAAGCTCCTCTCTTTCATAATTCTCCATGGCAGTGGCCTCCTTCAAGGCTGAAGCAAGGGTAACCTCTTCTTTAGCCACGATGCGTCTTCTGGCCTTCTTGCTGCTCAGACCACCGATAAACCGATCCAGGAGAGTCTCTTCCAGATTTTGGAAGTCGCAGTGCTGAGCGAGCTTCCGCAGTTCAGCCAGAAATGCAGATACAGACTCCCCAGCATGCTGCTGCCTCTTATGAAACTCCATCCGCCGAGCCATCTTGGTCTCAGTAGGCGCCAAGTGGCTTGTTAGGCAGGCAAGAATATCTTTGAGAGATGTCTCACTTAGCTTCGCTGGAGCAAGCAATGCCTTGGCCAGCTTGAAGGTCTCAGGCCCACAGTAGCTCAGGAATGTGGCCCTTCTTTTGCTGGCATCGGTGATCCCTTGAGCCTCTGCGAAGAACTCGAAGCGTTCGACGTAGTCTTCCCACGTGTCGGGCTCTGATGGCTGGAAGGGCTCCAATACCCTTGGACTCTCCATTGTCCTGTGGCAGGGTCGTCTTTTCAGCTGGTCAGTGAGTCTTCTTCTTAGCTGCAATCCGGACTCTGAGGCAGGGCTGCGTTTAACCGCTCCTCAGCATTCCGGATCCCACCTTCATCGCCAGTTGTTGTGACGTGGGGTTTGTGATTTCAGCTCTCCTGATATAACATGCTGGAGACAGTTCTCTAGTAACACTTCTTTATTAAAGCAACAAGACTGCAGACTGGGGAGAGGAAAGCTACATTTATAGGGACAGGGAACTAGCAAGAAAGGATACATTTTGGAGGGAACAATATCAGGCAATCACAGTCCTGCCTTTTGGAGGGAACCAATAATACAGAGGATCCAAATACAGCAGCTTAAATGAACCAATAGTAGCTGTACCCTCTGGAACCAAAAGGCAGTTACTTTACCCTAATGCAAATACAGACAATAATAATACAGATATAAAATCCTTTGACTCAATACACAACACCTAGTATCATCACAAAAAGCACCATTCTAACCCATTTTAAATATATACTAACAGAGCAGTCCTTACCATATCTTCACAGAGGTAAGTTCTATTGAATTGAATG